CATAAGAACATATTATGGCTAAGGCTACAGTTATACACATCATAATAATAATATTAAACATCCTGTCTTCTAACAGTCATCAACTTTCTATCTAGTTATCCTTGACCATAAGCAACCTGCAGTAACTCACGAGAATGACTAAGCATTTAACCGCATGAGCTAGACATCCTGTCTACACTAAACATTTCTAATACATCAAGTATCTAACCAATATCTATCTGACTAAAAATACCTAACACTCTTTAATAAGAGCACTGTTAACAAACAAAACTATAAAGAAAACTGATTAAACAAGAAACACACTCTCAGGTCGATAATACAGTCCAGGGTCAGAGCCAGCAAGCTTACACATTCAAGGTATCCACAAAAGCATGGTCAAAAGGGAAGTCCAAAGGTCAAAGCACGATCAGATTCAGAGGGGTTAGGCAGTACTCGGTGGTCAAAAGTAGTGATGGCCCTTTGACACCCGAGGCTCCGACACATGCGTGGTAGCTCATAAAGCAATTGTTTCGAACCGTGTCGAGGCGTGTTTCAGTCACGTGACCAGTGACGTCCGAAGCAGTTGGGTTCGTCGGACGTCAGGTGAATCAGCTGATTGATTCGGTTTGTGTGAATCACTTTGGATCCAGTGTGTTCAGAGACAGGATATCCCTATTTAGTGGTGTTCATTTGAATCTGTCTTTGCAGAGCAAGTTCGATTGTTGCTGTTGTTGTGTTAGTTGCTTTGAGAGTTAGTAGTGTTGTAGCAGATTGTGTATTTAGTGGAGAATCACTGTGAGATAAATCAATAGATAGCAAGTTATAGAGAAATAGATGAAGTAGTTACATAGTTAGATAACACTAGATATAGTTATGTAACCGGTCGCCTTTTGGTCTCTATACTGTCCTCTTAGTCCCCCGCCTGTCCCTCTGGTGACTGGCCGTGCTGCGTTGTGTTAGCTTGGGACACATGGACCGAGACACTTGCTATTCACGGGGCCCTTTATTGCTGGTCACAGAAGAAAAATACATACAACAGATAGCCTCCAGTGAGTGCTCAGCTCGCTCCTAAACAAAAACACACAACAAGTTTACCCATGCGACCCAGGGTGGGCGATAAAAGTAAAATAGTCCCAAATGGATGGAGTGCTCACCTCTTTCCACTCGACACCGTGCAGGAAAGAGAGCGGAAGAGGTGCGCGACCCCTCTTTATACCTGGCTACCAACGAAGAAAAGCATGGCTCAATTGCGAGTCCCAGTGGAGTGGAGGCTTCCCTGACCAGGCATGTGAATTAACTTACACATGAACCAAAACGTTTTGTGTAATGATTACATCCCGGTTACATTTTGTGTACATATTGCATCCTGATTACATTCTGTGTACATATTACATCCCGGTTACATTTTGTGTAATTATTATACCCCGGTTACAGTTACATAGTCCTAAACTAGATGTCCTACTGGAGCACTGTGTCATTGAGGCCGAGTAATGAACCATTTATATGAATACTGTGTCAAAGCTTTTACAAAGCCTCATCGGCCATCACTAATCACAAGGTAGTCTGTGGTCAGAGCTGGAATAAAAAGTACAATAGAAACGCAGGAAAATCTGAACAGGAGTTAGAACGATCTGGCAGCTTCTTGGTGTGGGGAAGCTGCCTATAAAGGGGTGAAAACAAATGCAAACAATAACTGCTGATTAAAGAGTTCGAAACTGAGGTGAAACTGAAACAGGAAGTAATGTCAAAATAAAAGCATGAGACCGGAAACAGGCGGGACAGAATCATGACAATTCAGTGATCTGGCCTGCTAAAAATGATATATCACTATTGCAATGTCATCATCGTACTTCATTATTATTGTTGTTTCTCTTATTATTCAAGATCAACCCAGAGGCAACAAATTTGTCTCAGACTTCCAGCTCTCATTGCTGTGACCCCTGCATTTGACTCATTGTCTAACCTTCCTCAATGCGTCCACCAGGGGGCTCTGTTCTCAGTTATTCATGAGGAAATATGCTGCTTAAAACACCGGTGACCAGATGCACACACACTTTGACTGGTAAACTGGCACATGGAGCAACACCAGAAGAGTGGCAGTGTAGCTATGATCAATATCTGACTATTTGCTCACACTTCTCTTTTACTCATTACATTCATCCTAATGCCAATTTTGTGCAACTCAGTTGTGCTGTACACCACAGGCCTGTCTAAAAAGTGGCAACTTACAAGCCCCAGTTTTCAGACAATCATCACAAAAACCAGGTGTCATGGTTTCATGTATCCATTTACTTCCTGTTTTAGTTCTACTCTATAAATTCCATTTAGTGAATCAGAAGTTAAGACCATTATCAGGTGGAGGCTGCATTGCTTCACAATGGCCATATGTCGCATAGGCCAGGACAGAGGAAGGTCTGGACTTATCCTGGTGGCTCGGCAAAAATACAATAGGTAATGGGAGGTATATGAATGTAAAGCAGAACAAGATATGGTTTCAGCTGTGCTCCTTAGACTCTGTGGTGGTGATCTGCTGCTGCTCTCTACACACATGGGGAGACAGAACTAGAGGATGCTCTTAA